CCGGTTATTAAGCCCACCTCGGGCCCAGACCAAATTGGGCTTAATAATCGGCTGGGCTTATTAACCGTGGGCTTAATAACCGGCGACTACTGTATTTTTTGGGACAAAAATACCCGCTCCATCTATCTTCGTTATTGAAAAGTGAGAAATTGATTTGATGGTAGTTATCGCCATGCTGAATCTTACCTATTTTATGCATATAATTAATTGTCCAATTATAATCCATTATTACGTTTTGCTATGTTTCATATAAATCCTCCTGATGCCCAAATCTATAAGAAAGCGTCAAGTCTATCGACAGCAACTAATTTGAAGTCTGTCTTTCGAAAAATAATAAAAGATGAATGCAGGTGCATCGTACTTGCATGAAAAAATGCTTGAACTGCCTTCATTTAACCTACCGCGTGGGATTCGAACTCACTATAGTACGCAGAAGGCTTAAATCAACGCTCTAACCGTCTAAGCTATGAGACCTCACCGAGAAGCTTAACTGTAATCATAGTTAAGCCAGGTTAGCCGCCAAACCTGCTGCAAATCACGACATCCATAAACTTTGACACAGTAAACTGACTGTCCACGCTAGACTTTATAAACGATCGATCTGGAATTTCCTAGAGAACTACCAGCCATACTTAATTAATAATAAGTTTTGACAGTCATTGAATAATCCATTGGGCTTAATTGTTCAAAAAGGCAAAGTAAGGTAGGAAGTATGTTGCAGTTTTGAACGTAAGGATAATATATGCTTTCGGCAATTCATTATCGGCATGGGTAATGAAATTAGTGTAGTTGGGCAGGATTAATAACTGTCTTATAATTACAACTCATCGTTTTCACGCCACCCGCATGGCGAAATCGGCATGTAGAGTTCATTGCACCATGGAAAGGAGGGAGGGATTAATGATAGACAGTGAGCACGTTTCACACGTTAAAAATGCATGTTTAAGCTTATCCAACGCAAATACATTTGGATGCTTTTAGGACGGATGCAATTGAGCATTGTCTCTCTCACTCAGAAAATGGAATACAGGAAACCTTTTTACGCTGAATGTCGACTCACCCCGCGGCCCAATGTACCGGTTGACTACACTTGGTTCCTCCAAGGTCGGGTCTTCGCTCATGGTGAACGTCTCAGCATTCCTGAACTTGATGAGAAAACTGTCGGTGACTATATGTGTCAGGCACGTTTCAAACCAGAGGGTGGTTCGTATGTAGAGATGAAGGCAACCCTTTCTCTGTGGTACACTCCTCCTTCTGCCGATTGTTGTATTGGTACGTAAGTGCTTCATTGCACCATATTTTTCTGACACACACGGTTACGCAGCAGACGTTCTGACACGGTCCGAAGGCCACCGTTTGAAGCATCGCAGAAATATGCTGTTGCAAATGACCTCCACATGCAAAGTCTTCACTTGTCACAAAGGGGATTTATGCGCCCTTATTAACAACCCACCTGCAGCCACAGGCCTTTATCAAGCGATTCTTAACAAGATTACAATTCGTTTCCGATTAAACTGGATTTAGTAGGTGGGATTATAAGATTGATTATCATACAAAATAATCTCAAGATATTTCCGTCACGATAGGATGTCGGCCTTTGCATCAGCAGGTTTCCGACCAACTTGATAAACTGCACTAGGTGAAAAAGACTATTGGTGGTATTTTCGTCTTCTTCAAAATTTATGCTGACCAAGATGATGTTTGTCTTTTAAGAAAACGATTATATTAATGGTATTTTTGAAGACCGGGGGATATCCATTCATACAACATCGTATTGCTCCTTCTATCAATGCTGGCCTTGAAGTGCGCAACCTTGATGAGCCCTCTACAAAATGTTCTCCGTACAGAAATGCATGATATGTCAGACATTTATGTACTTCCGAAACCCCAAGCACAAGAACAGTTTCTGCCAAGTCAGAACATTATCCGTGAACTTATATGATCTCTTTTTCAAAACCAACAGATTTCTTTTATTCAACTAGCGGTTTTGAAGAAGTAATCTTTCCCAAATAAATATAAGAAGGGATCATTTATGCATGCTTTTGTAACATATTTCGATTAGTTAGAATATCGAAGATCGATGCCAAAAATGCATCATTATTAAGTAGTCATTTTTACGAAAAGTAGGTTTCGTACACAGCCGGAAAAGTATCCTTAAAAGGCCTGAGATCTATAGCGACCAGAGTATTTCGTGATTTTGTGTCACTTCAACCAGTATTACAAAACCAGGCGTGTAATCCTTTCAAATCCTAATCAGATAATATAAGTTTGGTTAAGCTTTTATAGGGTTGGCCATCTACTTTATTTGCCCAGCAGCTGAATGCAAAAGATGTATGAGTGGAACGTCCTTTGGTTAGTTAAAACAAAATTTGACTAATTATCTGTGCTTTCTTCGCTTTTAAGATCCACAGACCTACCGGCTGAGTATTAATCCGCTGACCGAAAGACCTGCACGAGGCTCAGCTTACTATGCAGACTGTCGCCTCCAACCGGAGCCACTTTCGGCAGCTCGCTTTACCTGGTACTTTCAGGGGCGCTATTATTCGGAGGGTCAGAGACTCAGTATCCGCGAACTGAATGAGAACACCATCGGCGAGTACACTTGCCAAGCAACGATCACCACACCCACTGGACCTCCACTGACCGTGAACGTAACCAGATCTGTGTATTACGCCAAGGTGCCTTCGCCAGCAGTTCCAGGGGCGGCACCAGAACCAGCACCCGGCAAGTTGATTCCTTCGTGTCTAGGCTTCCACTATATTGAAGAATGCTTGAAAGCACCCTTGCCTATGTGCTTTGTGGGGACTTGTAGAGGCTCTTCTTTCATGGAAAAGCACGGACTCCTGTCCACTGAATTAGAGCAAACACGAATTGCAAAAAAACTTCTCAAAAAGCAGTCACAGGGTCACCTTCTTCTCAACCACTCTTAGAAACCTGATTATTTGATGATCAAATAAGAAAAAATTGAGAACTTCGGACTTTTAATTTTAAAAGAAAGATAGTTTTCTTACAACAGATTTGCAAAAATTCCCACTGAAAATTTCAGAAGATGAATTGGCGAACGTATGTTTCTTTTCGATAAATTCTTCTCAGGCCTTTACATTTATATGGTAATTAAGTAAATAAACTATGTTGGTTGGTAGAAAAAATATTATGGTTGTCAGAGGAGGGGGAAGGGAGGGAATCAGGGTCAAAACCTGGTCAGCGTTAGGGGGGACTGGTAGTTGGCCGAGGTGATAAGGAACTGGCTGTTGGATTAGCGGCTTTGGACCATGGTAACTGCGGCGCCGGTCGGCGTAGCCTGATGGCGGCCGCTTTTGCCGTAGCCAACAGACGCTGTCCAATATATGTTGAATAGTTTGAGGGCACCTTGCTGATTACTCGGTAGGCCTCTCTGGCATCCATGTGAGGGTCTGAGTCCACGAGGTGCGCTAGAATGGAACTGTTTATATCGTTTATATGGCCCTTCTATAACCATACTGGAATGCGTTCTCATATTATTTTGGACAAACGCCGGCTCGTGCGACCAATATGTCCTGACGCACAGGAAAAGGTGAATGAATATATGCACACAGAGGTGGTCTGGGCTAGCAGTTTGTCCTTGCTCCCTCCGTATGGGATGGGAGTAGTCGAGAACAGTACATGAGCGTTGGCTACAGGGGTGGTTTCTACAACTTGACTCAGGCGCCTCCTGAGAAGTTCGCTTGGTCCGTTCCCTTGAAATGGGATCCTGATGAATATTCGCTTCTTCTCTGCTGTTAACACTGCGGGTTTTGGCGGCCTTTCAGCCGTGTGCTTAGTAATAAATCGAATGGGATACCCATTTTTGGCGAAACACGCCTTTTAACAATTTTTGGCTCCTCTTCGATGCTGTCGAGCAGATCGCCTTCATCCTTTGCGTCAAACATCGTAATAAATTACATTTGAAGTTTAACGGCACAAAGCTAGAGAAATGGATGTATTGCCCGGAACACGTCTTCTTACGGTCTACCTTACGTTGAATACTCCCATTGGCTCTTTTACTGAGTAAAACATCAAGAAATGGGACCGACTCACATTGTTCTTCTTCTATTGTAAACTTAATAGACGAGTGCGCCTGATTTACGGTATATTTTAGAGCTGAAATGTTGGTTTAGTCTGGTGCAATCGCGAATATATCCTCGTCGTAATGTTTGTAGTACGTCACATCCACTAGCCAGCAGCTGATCACCTCGACCGACTACCAGTCCCCCCTAACGTCGATCAGATTTCGACCCTGATTTTCCCCTTAACGCTGATCAGAGTTTGAATCTGATTCCCCTGTCAACCGTACTATTTTTTCTACCAACTCACGTAGTTTATTTACTTAATTACAATATAACTGTAAGGGCCTGACGAGAATTTATCGAAAACAAACTTATGTGCGCCAATTCATCTCCTGCTGCTGGTTTAAGCCGACTTGATTGCACGGTCTACTAAAAGTACCACTCAAAACAATCGTCTATCTCCATTGCGCTCTGTATTATCGTTTAGTTGCCTTAAGCTTCTGTTCAATCAATCATTTGAGTGCACGAAAATTCTGAAGTGCGATTCAGACGAATCCATAGTATAATTAGATGACGTAACACTCTTCAATACCATTTGCTGACATTTAGCGACAAACGTTACGATTCCACTACTGCCTGAACCTTATGAGGTGATAGACAAACCCTTAAAGTTTTAACATTTGTTCGAGTTTCTACGGCCCTTTCTTAAAACCCTTTTCCCTTTGGCATACTAGCACATTAAAAGACCCTTATAAGCTCAATCTTTTAGACGGGATCGAAGAAGTAGCCTTTCCACGGAAAGAATACTTGGTGTTTACTGAGTATCAAGAAAAATTCTGAGCTCATTGTGGCAACGGTACCTCATGTCAAGAAAACTCACTTAAAAAATCCTAAGGAATTAACCGAATCGCTTGACTTAAATATCCACTTTCACATGGGAGCCCAAACAAGCAAACAATTGCCCTATGTCAATGTAATTGTGCTTTGGCATGAAAATAGATGACAGACTACACTCTTCAGAAAAAAAGCCTGCAAAAGACAACTACTACACACCTCGAGAGCAATAACTTGCTGGCTCGAAAACCTAGCGATGACTGAATTCTAATCCCAAACATTGAAAGGCATTGCCATGCGCCTGCAGACAAAAACGCCTGACGACTACACTTTCTGAACATGTTCAGAGCTGGATACTGTTCACGTGTACCTGCA